AAAAAATAAAAATAATTACAGTAATTAAATAATAACAGTTTTGCTGTGGTTTGAACCAATGCCATGATTTCTGACTATACTCAATTCCTACCAGCTCTGTGATCAAGAAACATGTGGGTGGAGCAAGGTGTGGACTAGGCAGATATTGACAGTATTGATCGGTGGGATATTGACCCTGCAATCAACTTGTTCTACAACCCTGAGGACAAAGACATCTTCTGGTATAGGCAGCATGTAGCAAGGGTCATATTGTCTGGTCACTGTTGACCAGATTGATGTAGGATCAACCAAGGTGTGTCGTGTTATAATATCAGCAGAAGTTAGTCAGGATATGTGATCGACTTCAAAATTTTGATAACTGCATTTAACACCCCTTACAAAAGGGTGCATATTAACATGTAAAATTATGTGGCCACAGCAACTATTTCATCTGCTATAATACTGAAAGGTTCAGTGACAAACTTGGCTTTCAGAATAGCAAAGCAACAGGCAAATAATTTCCTTGCAATGCTTTAATAAAAATAAAGTCTAATCTTGCCAATTTTGCAAAGTGCAAAAAATAAAAAAAAATAAAAAAAGGTAATTTTCTATTTTAATGCATATGACTTTTTAGAAGCTTTTTTTCTTCTTTAGATGATTTTTGAATGAACCTTAAGAATATCAATACATTATCATTTGCATGAAAAGAAAATTATTCTACCATAGCTTTAGTGCGAATTTTAGATACTGGGGTCATTGACATTTATTTTTTTAAGGGAATGGGTTGAGGTCATATGTGATTCATTAGATGATCCTGAGATCTTGGCGAGGTGTTGCTTATCAAAATCACAAAGGACTGATTTTACAGGAAAAAATAAAAAAAATTAAGCAAAAATATGAAAAGTACTCTAAGTATGTTATGCAAAATAATAGTTAATATAAAGATTTTTTTTGTAATTTTTTTATAAAATGGCAAATATGACATAATTATTCATCCATGTCTGGCAGCATATTAAGTAGCTTCATAGCAGATGAGCTGGCGTCAACAACCACAGTTTATTGTTAAAGTAGACATGGAAAGATAGACAAATCAGGTAACAGTGTTGGTGTATAAATTGGCAGATATGAAAATGAAAGCAATTCAGATTTAATAAATAATGAAATGAGGTTACAAAATGTTTAGAATTTTTGTCAAGTTTATGAAAATCAAATGTCTGTAGAGGAAATGAATGTAAACCAATGAAAGTGCTTGTGAAGAAATTCTTTTGTAAAGTAATTTGATGAGAAAAATACATTTGTTTTCTTTTGGTTATGAGAAATATCTACGTTCTCCCAATGTACACAGAAACACATACTACTTTTGATTTATTTATTCTCACATGCCCACTTATGACGTATAGGCCATAACATGGTCCCAGAATTCACAAAGGAGCCCTGGAGGATGAGGAAGCAGATATCACTTTGTTATGTGGGGAGAAGAAAGATTGGCTGCCACGGACAAACAGCAGATATTACTAGCAGCTGTTTGCCAGGACTATGAAATCCCTCAAATTTGTAAGCCAGTAGGCAAGCAATTTGTTTTTAGTTTTGTGGGCATGTGTATACATACACAAAGAAAAGGTAATGAAAAGCCTAATGGTTTTAAACTAAATATAAACACATTAAGGAGCTGATAAATATTTAGCCAATGTATTTTATAGGGGGGGGTATACCTACCCCCGCCCTGATAACAGTATTTTGGTCAGGACTGTGCTCACTGAATTAAGAAGGGAGAAGAAACTGACAACAATTGCTGTCAAATATGATGTTTGGCACATGTAATAGAATTAATCCTGTCTTGGAAGCTCTGAGTGAGACGCTCAATGCAGTGGAGTGGACTAATAATAAACTTAACCTGTATGTTTTTTTTTTTTTAAATTAGTATCAATCACAGTTGAGGATACACATGCCATCCTGGGATTGGGTTGAGTGATCCTGTGCCGGTTGGAGAAGAGTTAGCCACAAGTGCATATCTAATGTTAAAGTTGACAGATTTGAATCTGACTGTGGAACAGAAGGCATGATTGAGGGAGGTTATCCACAGAAGCTAATATGGGAGAAAAGTGAAAGAGAAATTTGTGTAAACACACGCAAATTGAATGATAAAACGTGTTTGTATGCTTTTTATTTAGTGAACATGTGAGAGAACAAATTTTTGAAAGAATCATAAAATTTTCAGTTACTTGTGCAGCCTTCACTAGTGGCCTGATGTTGCGGAAAGAACCAAAGATTTTGGTATTCTCCGATATATCAACTAAATAAATAAATAAAAAAGCAGCTAGTTTTTATTTTATTAACAAGAAATAAAAAGACAAGTATTGAAGAAAAATGCTCATGATTTTGATAACACAATGAAATAAAACAAAAAAAAAAAATCTACATAACTTTGGAAAAGTAATGAATTTGAGAAGTTTGGGAGAAGTATGTGGTTCACCTTAGATCAGGCAGAAAAGACTGTACTGTGTCCTTCAATGAAATCAGGTGCAGAGATATTAATGCCAGTGGTGAAGCCCAACAAGTGAATATGGGTCAACCCAGATGCAGCAATGTTGCAAGCATAGGAATGAACTATAATATAGGTTGATATATAAACACCCACCTCAGAAAGCAAAAAGTCTCTCAGACATGGCACAAGAGAATGTAATGTCTATGTTTGGATGAAGGCATTGAGCTGCACACACATCTGGAGTTGAAATCAAGTATAAATGTTATGTAGGAGAGATCCAGTTGTGTTCTGCTTAAAATGTATGATGATACTCATTAGAAACAAAAAAAAAAAAAAAAATTACTGAAATAATGATATATAGAGTACCTAATACTGAAAAGTAACATGCTTTTAAAAGAATTTTATTTAAAAACTTCATTAATTTTTACACTTAACTAATAGCATTGTCAAAGCTACTGTGATTTTTTAATAGTTAATTTACTTTTAAATAAAGAACAAGCAGACTAGGTCCCTGTTTATTATACATTAGCTGCTACAACAGGTGATATATTTATACTTTTTTACAGTAGCCATGGAAATACCAGTTTCACTGTTTTTCATTGAAATTAATATTTTTGAGGTTTCCTAAATCCATAGAATGTAAAAAAAAAATTATACATATACATACTAGCTGAGGTACCCAGCATTGCCCAGGTGTGCATGGCTACAATTGTATACCTGCACACCTCTGTCTAGAGATGTCTGCCTTGCGTCCCACTTGCATGCATCATCCATTGGTATACTAAGCTACTCCCCAATCCTCTTTCACCTGCTTATTGTAAAGCTGGGGTTAATAAGAGGCTCGTCAGGAATTTTCCCCTTTACTGCTTCAATAACCGTTCTCAAACAATCTTTGCACCAAAGGCTGTTCAAATGCCAATTTAGGATGGAATCACATGAAACTATTGGCTAAATGGCAAAAGCCAATATTGGACCTAGTTGGTCGCAGATTTTATCCACTTAACTGAAATAATCTAAACCAAATATTCATGAAAGATAATTTGTGTCATATGTAATTTACATGGCAAATTTGGAAATCATAAAATGAAAAACCAGGGAGTTATGGCTGAAAAACAGCCTTTTTTGAACAGTTTTTCATGGTTTTTCATTGTACACAGGGAAATGAGCAGGACTAAAACCCTACTTATTTCTTGCATGATGGCAAATTTTTGAGATGTTTGAAGAAAATCAGATAAAAATTGAGGAAGTTATTCAAGTTATTTTAAGTGGTGTGAAAACCTGATTTTTCAGTTTTTTGCAATGAGCTATGTTTTGTATTAAGTGCGAAGAACATCTGCTCATCTAGTAAAAGTTTTGTTTGTGTGTAACTTTGCTTCGTTTTTTTGTCAAAAGTTGTACCCCACCTTCAGTTTTATCAAATTTTCTGCCAAAACTGGGGAGCCTGCCTACCTTGGTAAATTTGTAACATGTGTGTACAATTTCTGGGCACACAAACAAAAAAAAATTAAAAAAAATTACTAACAAGTATGCATCAAATTGAAAGTTCATAAAAGAAAGAAGTCTGGTACAGTAATTAACCCCCACAAAGTATCAGATTAGCTGAACTCATCAATACTTATTTGGAAGCTAGTGACGTGCAGGTGGTGTAATGGATACAGACATAGAAAGTGGAATTAGTTAGCAGAATTCATATTCACATCTGTACCTTTGTGAAAGGCATGAATCCATCTCTTTCTCTAGCTATGCTCGGGGACAAACAGTGTAAGAGAAAAACTGAAGGCGGCAACAGGAAACCACTCCCCCCCATGAAAGAATGTATGGCAATTAAAAAAAAAAATATATATATATATATATATATATATATATATATATATATATATATATATATTGCATTTTTATCTATTCACTGATGGCCTTGATATAAGGCTTCATATCAATACTAATGAAGGTGTTGCTATGACTAAACATTTCTAATTAACACAAGATATTTTCAGATTTTAATTCATTTCTAGGCTTTTGGGGATTCAAACCTAGAAGCAATGTAAAATATCAGATTTAACACTTCAAATCCACATCACTATAGCAATAATCTCACCAAAAATCTTTAGAAAAGCATCATGAAGGATGAGTTAGCTGCAATTGCTATTATTGCTTGAAAAATTGCTGTCAGATATTCAGAGAAAGACATATTGAACAGAATAGCAAGAGACAAAGATGAACAAGATCCAAGAGAAATTGCTTTTTAAAAGCATTTATGTTAATGAGAAATTGTTCAACCTATTGTCCTGGGTAAAAAAAAAAAAAAAGAAAAAAGAAGCATATTTAAAGCTAAAAATATTTTTAGATTGTAATAATGTTTTGGAGATAATGATGTCCTACTAATCAACCCATAGCTGGCAGTTGGGGATAAGAGGTGAATTCATGCCTTTCCCAAAGCGTGCATAATTGAATACAACAAACCCAAGTGGAATTAGAACTTTGCTCTCTGATTTTCAATTCAGAGCCATTATCCATTACACCACCTGCATGTCCAAACTTACAGCACTTAGAATTCCCAAGTGATCACCCATCTAGGTACTGACTAAAATCGATGTGGCTTAACTTTGGTGATCATACAAGAACCAGTGTTTCGACATGATATGGCCTTAAGCCTTAGGTATTTTGGTTGATTTGATTATTTATTTTCAAACTGAAATGGTTATGAGCATTTAACCATTTCTAACTTTAAAATGGGAAACCACAAGACCAATGTCCAGCTGATAAAACATCAATGCCTTTCAGTTATGCTCATTGGCAGTTCCTTCAAGAATTAAAAAAATTGATAAAGTTCTATCTTGCAGTGAACAGATTAAAAAAAAAAAATTAAAGTCCCTCTACAAAGTTTTGACAACAAAAAACAAATTTAATACACTATACAAAGGAACTATACATCTTCCAAATAAAGATAAATTCATCAACATCTCTATGAACTAACAGACAATACATCAACATCTCTATGAATTCTACAGATAATACAATTTTATTTTGCTTATTCAATAAAAGGCAGTGTGCCAATAACTAAAAGACAGATTCTGTTGGAAGACAATAACAAATCTGTGCATCCTCATTTCCATTTCATAATTTTTGTCATTCTCTAGAACCTATCAGTTTACCAATAAATCTAAAGATGAAAGGAAGAATCTCAGTCACTACAAGTGGATTTAGCAAATGTAAGAATAGCTATTGTGGCAGTTATACTGTCAACCATCCGACAAATAGTAAAAAGACATATTACTTTGATTTTGTTATGTACAGCAGCAAACACCGGCAGCAGCTGATAAAGAGGATGGTCTCATTATTTTCCTTCATATTAATGAAACTATCTTGCAATATTCTGGCCATGAAAGCAGCAACAAATTTGTTAATGATTTAATAATGGTTATGGAAAGTATACTCCATCTTTGTTAAAAATCTGCTTTTGAAAAGGTATAGATTTTTCTCTTTGAAAACAAATTTAGGAGAACCATGGAAGAGTAAGCTAACTTTCAAGTTTTTGTGAGTATAGAAAGCATTACACACTAACCAGAAGCAAGTGCAGAGAAGTGTGGTCACAAAAGTTAAATAGCAACTGAGCACAAGTTATTCAGTCTGAAACCATTTGAACAGTGACTTTAGTACACCATACTCTATTCGGCTGCTGTGTTAGTTATAGCCTGCAAGAACTCATTTAAAACAATCTAAAAACATATCCAGTTTATTATCACTACCCATGCTATACAAGATTATACTTACACTTACCACTGCCCAAGTGAGTTACACATTTCAACTCTTGAAAGCACAGGAAGATTTAAGTACAACTGACCTCTTTAGATAATGATAGAGGCCAAAGGGATAACCAATAACAATACCCAGTGCTGTTCATACCACAACCTGTCATCAGTCACCTGCCTGGTTCATCACAGGTGAATTTTATCTTATACAGGGTAAAAGGGCAAGTAATTAGAACATTTACAGAGGACAGTGAACAGCTCGTCAAATCCTTTGTTATGAAGTGTGTTTTTTTTCCGGCCTTTGGGCTGGGATCAAAGTGCAATATCTGGTCTGTGGACAGAGTATGGAAAAGCTTTGAGAGATGTCAGGTACCAGGGATTCCAACCATGTGGCAACACCTCCCTCACTGCACTAAGAAGGAAGGATTAGTAAAATTACCAATACCAGTATGGCAGTGGTTGCAGGGACTGGTCAATTTTTGCCCTGGACCCATGTGTACATATATGAGCACACGCACATTAAGACCATGCGTAATACCCTACCACTGTCCTTGCACAAGTAAATATCACATCTTACATGATTACATATATGAAAGGGTACTTGTGCCCTTTGACAGCGTAATTGTTAGCAAGTTTTCTTGCTAAATTGATCAATTATGACCAACAAGAGAGTTTGAGCCTCACTGGGTGCCCCACACTTTTGGCTTTGTGCCACATCTGAAATATTCTTAAAAATCATCATATATGAAAAGGTGCCTTAAGTATATAAATAATTATTTCACAAACTTGTGAAAAAAAAAAAAAAAAAAAAAAAAAAAATTAATTAATAATAAAGTTTATTAAAAAGAAATAGGGATACCGGAAATGTTAGAATGTGAAAAGCAATAATTGTTTAGGTTTCATAAAATTTTATAGGTTTCTATGAAAAATTATTATTTACCAGAATGATAATTTAAAAATATTTCTGTTCTGGGGTGGGGGAATTTCCCCTGTTTTTCTATTTAATTTGCATGAGTACATGTGCTTTACAGTTTGAATTCAGTAGATTAAAAAGTAAATATAAAAAATATTGTGTTTTATTGGTAGGAAAGGGAAAAAAAAAACATTTTAACAGCAGTACAAATTTTCTAGTTAGATAAGCATTGATCAAAACTGGAGAAGTCAAGGTGGCTAATAACACAGGTGGAAAGATAACTCAAACCTGTACCCAAGTGATCTTTGACACTTGGAGAGATTGAACTTGATTATCTTCTATTAGAATGGAATATTTATATTCAGATATACAAGGTGTTACTTTAAGTTCAGAAAGGATTCAAAATTAGTCACCTTGGATTTTCGAAAATGGTTTGTCCTCTGGTGTCTGCTTTTATGACAACTGTGCTATACCACGTGCTATACACCCTCACTCAGTCAGGAGAGTAGTGGGAGGGGCAAAAGAAAAAAAAAAAAAAAAAGTTGTAAACTAGGAATTACAAGTACTTTAAAAATTTTAGAGTAAAAAACATCCCATGTGACTAATGCAGGGTTAAGGATTATTTTCTTTCCTTTTTCCATGATAATGGCTTCTGTGTTACATTCCCTACTCTTAACACAAAAGAATCTTTCTCACATCAAACTGACTGTGTGTGTGTGTGTGGAAAAAAAATGAAAAAAGAAAAAAAGAGAGCTCTTTTCTATGCTGATGCAAAGTTAATAGGATAGATTTAATTTGCATAAGCATTCATTGAAGAATTAGTTTTGACAAGTGCATGCTGGAATGGAGAAGCACAAGATTTGTTTGGATAAATAGTGCTACTTTTAGTAAAGGAAGCTGTTCTTTTGTTAAATAAACCAAAACAGGCATGTTGCCCCTTTCTAAATTTATTGAATTAATATTCTATCAAATATGGCAGTTTAGCTAAGATAGGAGACAAAAATCAACCTTTGTTAAATAGGTGAAATTTATAAACACTAGCAACAGGCCCCAAATGCAAAAACCAAAGCACACTTTAAATGGAGGCTATCATCATTATTTTTCCTTGTATTTGCTCTTCAGGAATCAAAATGAATCTAAAATATTTTTTTCTTATTTTCACCCATGTTTTTTTATTATCTGAACCTGAACTGCCAGGATTTCTTAGGAAGATAGAATGGTTTTCTGTAGCTATTTAAATAGTTCTGAAAGCAGAGTTGATCTACAATGGATGGCCAGAGAGCCCAGGCTACTTAAAAAAAAAAAGAAAAAAAAAAGAAACAAAACAAACAAACTCGCCCCAAGCAAGGCAATAATGCCATTAAGATGCAAGGGGTTACTGTGAGTAAAAAAGAATGAAAAGATCCTAGAAAGAACTGGAAACCCAATCCTCAACAGGAAATAAGGGATAAAACTCCATTCTTGTTCTAAAGACTGGGGCAAGTGTGAATTGGATGATCAGCAAACATATCTACTCCTAATAGGGAAAAATAAACAGTAACATTTCAGAGTTTATGCAGAAGTGGTAAAAATATAAACTGAAATAAATTTCCATGTGTGAGGTGATTCACTTCAAGATACAGAGTCCAGACTTGTGTAACCATGTACAACAGGGAAACAAATCAGAACTATAGTGATATGACTAATTTTCTTGGCTATTCAACAGAGTTCAAAATCTATACAAATAGTAAGAGATTAAAAACATAACCAGTTCAAATCTCCAACTACAAATATAGCAACAATCAATTAAGTGACCTTTTCGCTTGTATGAGGCAGTAAAACAAACAAGTTGGGTAGAATGGGAGAAAGTTTACAATGCCATTTAAGCATTAATACATTTTACTTATTTGTGTGCATATTATATATATATATATATATATATATATATATATATATATATATATATATATATAAAGAGAAGGAAAACTGATTTTAAACCTCCACTGCCTTGCAGCCATACCCAATCATGGGAAAGGCTTCAGGAGTAAACCCTGAGGACAAATCCAGAACTGGAGTCTCTAAGACAGTCTGCAGAAATTCAAATCCCAAGTTGGTGACTGGCACAGGATAATCACTTCATGGCCATCTTGAGCATCCATAAGCACAGGTACTATCACCCTGAATTATAACAACCTTGATCAATATTAATTTATCACCTCCTCAGCTACCAAGACTCCCAAGGTTCCAGTCAGCAGAGTTGAGATACTCCTTTCCTAAAGTCCGAAGAAAAGAAAAAAAAAGAAAAAATGTCTGATCACATAATTGATGCTGAATTCAACAGTAACCACATTCATTGTTTCTTACTGCCAAACAGAAGTGATGAAAACTAGTAGACAACTTTTACTCCAATCTGAAGGGAGTAACAGAAAGCCTTCCTTATTATTTCAGGCAATTTCAATGGTCAAATAGGGAAGTATGATGCTTTATTCACATATAAGGAAACTAACTGAAATGAGAGAAAACTGACAGACTTTGCACACAAGTTCCAACTGCAAATTACAAACACAAGGTTCATGAAGCATCCAAAACATCCATTGACATTTCAGCATCCATTCAGACCTTGATCACAAATTGATTACATCTTCATGAGGAACAAGTGGAAAAGTGTTTGTAATGCCCAGGCATTACTTGTCCTTCTATCAGTTCTGATCATAGAATTGTTGCTATACATGTAATTTTTAGCCTAAGGTCATTCAAACCGCCACTACCAGAACCTATAAAACCAGTCGATTGGGTCAAGGTATCCTCAAACAACTTTGAAACACTACTTTGCTGTAGATGTTAAGAAGTTATGAAATGCTCTCCGATCAATCTGATGACATTGAAATGGCAATTCTTTTCTGGTAAACGAGTCAACTATTGTTGGGGTTTTGCAAATAAATTTCTTCTAAACAAGATAAAGAAAAAAGAAAAAAATCGAGGAGTTATTTTCCCCCTAAATAAAT